GTGTGGGTGTGGGTGTGAGTCCGGATATAAGTGAAGAAGAGTTAAATGCACACCTACATTCACATCCACACACACCCACACCCACACCTACACCCACACCCTACACCCACACTCACGCCCATCGACCCATCTGCATACAAACGCACACCCACACCCACCCACACCCACACCCACACCCACACCCACACCCACACCACACCCACACCCACACCCACACCCACACTCACACCCACACCCACACCCACCCCACACCCACACCCACACCCACACACCCACACCCACCCTCTACTATCTTCCTACTTTAGTAGAAAATTACTATTTCTGAAAGTATAAAACTAATTGATGGTTATCAAGAAAAATTTGTTGTGATCTGACGGGTGAGAGCAAGCAGTACAATATTATATGGGTGTACGTCAGGATGTGCATCGAAAAAATCTGAGTTATAAGTCGAGTTATGACTTTGAGTTTTAACTGATTAACTTTTTCTTCGTTTTCTCAACTTTTGACTTTTCAAAATTTCATTTTTACCCCTACTCGGCAAATAGTATCTAACACAGAAAAAACGTGTTCATCGTTCCATTACTAAATACGCGTAGTATTTCTTTCAATAAAATTGAAATACGCAACCATATTTAATACGATAAAACGTGTTCATCATTCAACTAGCATTTACGCGCAATATCTCTTTTATGAACATTAAAATACGAAATAATGTTTAACACAATAAAACATGTTCGTACTTCAACCAGAAAATACGAGTAAATTAGGTACGAATAACGCGTAATAGTGAGTTTTTTTTAATTTATAAGAAGACGTCGAAAATTTTACGAGTAATAACGCGTTAATATTTCGTGAAAACGGCGTTTTTACGTTTCTGATACATAAAAATGGTGTATTTACGAATTTTAAACGCGTTTTTACGCGTTTTTTAGGGGTCTTGTCTGTCTGGCTACTAGTTTATGGAACAGTTTAGAACGCTTTCTTTCTAGGTGTGGAACAGTTTTGAATCAGAAAGAAACATTCTATAATAATATAGAATGCCAAAGGTTAGGTTCTTCTAGACTCAGAAATATTCGTTTCGTTGACGAATGCCTTCACTGAACTATGGAATGCTTTCTACAAATAAGAGACAAGTTTCCGTATTTTCATGAATGCGTTTACTTCCGTAATTTTTCATGGTAATTTTTTACTGGGTATATATAGGAAAGTATTATTTTTCGAAAATTCAATATCGGAAGAAAGGAACATTCATTTTGGCTGAAACTTTCAGGATGTTCTAAGAACTATTGAACCTATACATGGCCAAAACTTCAACTCGAAACTCTGCAGTTTATTTTCTGAGATATATATCCAATAATGGGTCTAAAATCCAGTAAAATCGGAATAACTACTGAAAGAAGAGGATTGGGCAAAAACTCTTTTAGGCTTTTTACTATGTCAATATACTCAACTAAATGTGATAGGAATAAATGAAATCGAGAGGTGACATCTGAGAAGGTTCCCTCGTAAGTACAACTAAATTGACTTATATTTATCGATCTCAAAGCAAGTCTTCAAAGAGAATAATGGAGTGCATTTTTGTGATTTTTGTCATCGCGTTACAAATAGATCCTACCTAAAAGGCAAAGAAGCTGTCTATTTAAAGCTATTTTTGCTACATTTAATACTTCAAAGTGTCGCCTAGGGGTAGGACAGTTCATAGTTCCAAGTTCGGATGAACTGGTCAAAAGAACTACCAGTTCAGTTCTTCTGATAGGAACTGAACTGAACCAACACTTCTTTGAATAGAACTGAACTGTATTAACAGTTCTTTGAATAGAACTGTTGATTCAGTTCAGTTCTATTCAAAGAACTGTTGTTTCAGTTCAGTTTTATTCAAAAGAACTGTTAATACAGTTCCTAAGAACAGAACTAATATGGAACTGTCCTACCCCTAGTGTCGCCTAATAATTTTTTATAGAACGCTTTCTTTAATCAAGCACACATTCGCAGAAAAATGAAGAGTTAGCAAGTCACTGTCAAATTTTTGTCACTTGTCCGACATCCCGTTTTGCTCTATACTTTTGTTCTAACTTCTCAATATCTGATTGCAACAAGTTCATATTTCGAGTAATATAATGGACTGAAGCGATACACCTTTCAAAGAAATAAAGACCTTTTTAGATAACGTTATTGTTGAGAAAAGTTATAAAATCTGTGGACATAACGTCATCGCGTTATGCTCGGAGAAGTCGTTGTAAGAAATAATTGATTTTTTTAACTTTTACCTTTCATTTGACACACACAAGGACACAAATTCTTTTTAGTTTTGTCTATATCATCGTCGCTGCAATCGAAGATACAAGAGAAAACAAAGAGTAACAAACTATTTATTAGACTGGTACATATTTATTAAGAATCGAAATTTGCATATTTTACAGCGTTTGGTTTTTTCCTTTACAGCTTGTGGTCCTTCGTATATAAAATGATTTAGTATCATCGTCACGTACAAGAACAAAAGCAACAAAAAATGTTGCTAGCACGTACTAGGAAAACAGTGATTACTTTTGTCTCGATTATTCTTGGTATCACTGCATATTGTTTTATTATACACAACAGCAAAAAAGCATTGTGTCACAATCATATTCCGTCATCAGACGTTAAATCCGATCAATGTAACTTATCCATGTTAGAATCTGATGGCTGGTTTTGTGAACAAGATTCTGACTGGAAACGTCGAAAAATGATCGATCATATGCAAAATAAACGTAATCGTATATCGAATGCTCGTAAATATTTTTTTCAAAATAATTGGGAATCAACAATCCAATGCGAGTTTGCGCGACGCATTGGTAATACAGGTGACGGAGGTAAATGGATTTGTAATATACATCGGTATCAAGAAATGATTGATACAATTATATTAATCTATTCCTTTGGTTCTCATGGCGACTTTAGTTTTGAACGAGCTATTAAAAACGAATTACCTAATGCAGAAATTCACACATTTGATAGAGACATATTTCAATGTCCAGAGAATGTGTGTATATTTCATCAAGCCACTCTAGGTAGTAGAAAAATCAATGGTTCCAAATCTTTACGAGCGGTTATAAATGAACTTGGTCATCAAAAACGAGAAATTCACATTTTGAAAGTTGATATTGAAGGGAGTGAATACGATTTATTCGAAGAATTCTTTAATTCGCAAACGAAAAATCAAACTGGTGGTCTGTATATTCGTCAGATTCTTTTTGAAATACATCTTGGCCGTGGCCAAAATGAAGAACCAAGTCAACGCACACATAGATTATTTGAGTTGTTTCGAGCAAATAACTTTGTGATATTTCACAAAGAATCAAATTTATATGATCCTCAGAATGCCTTTGAGTTTGCAATATTACGATTGAATCCAGCTTTTTTTTCTCCTATACGTTAATTGTTAAACTTCATAGAATTTTTCCACTTAATTTTTATTATTCCTGCCATAATCTAATAGGTTGAGGGTGTGGACGTGGGTCTATTGACTGTAAGAAACCCACACCCACACCCACACCCACACCCACACCCACACCCACACCCACACCCACACCCCCACCCACACCCTCAAGATGGTTTCATCATTTCTTCGCGTAATGTCAATCACTTGCTGTTGATTAAGTCTAGATTGATGTTGTTCATCCGTCTCATTGTTTCTTCGTGTAGTGTCGATCATTTTCTGTTGATTAAGTCTAGATTGATGTTGTTCATCCGTCTCATTGTTTCTTCGCGTAGCGTCAATGATTTTCTGTTTAGTTAAGCGTTCTTGCGATGCGTCACTGCTTTCTGAGTTTCGCTTTCTGCGAGCGGCCAGGCATTGCTTTTCGTTTCGTTTTCCTGTTTCCTCTGGAGTTTCGTTCGCTCGTTGGAGTCTCTTTCTCTCGGAGTCTTTTTCTTTCCTTGTCATCGTGGACGAAGATGTTGTATTTGATCGAATTTCCTTTTGATTCAGTGGTAGTGTGAACTGCGGCACGCGGACAGTAGTCGTTTCATTGTTTTTCATTGTAAGCTTTTCCGGCGTCTATATTTTCAATACTAGATTATTCAAAAGTTCGTAAAATGTATTTACCTTTTGTTCGTTAGCACTCATGGCTGCCGCTTATGCGTCTTGAACTTTCACAAATAAAAATTAGATACGGAAATCTGAAATTTATAGAAAAAGTATCATATAGATTGAGACCGACTTGGAATGCATATATTGACGTCGAGGTGTACTACAAAAAAATCAACTTAACTCATTTATATCTGATTTTATCAAGCTAAGATGCAGCATAATGGAACATCTTGAATATACTGCGAATTTCATTGTGTAATATTTTATATAAAAAAAATCCCTTAAAAGGGTCAGAATCCACAACGGATCAGTAGTACGTACGTATGTTCATTAAGAGGTTTGTAATTAAATAATAAAGAATCGACTAATACATCGTAGAATTTTTAATGTTTTGAACGACAAATTCGCGAAGTTAAAAGTAAAGTCGTGTAGTTGAATATATTGTATTGAATAACGACGAGATCACATAATAATAAGAGTCATATTGTAGATGGTTGAACCAAAGAAAAGAATGTTGTCGACCATATTGACTTACTGTACAGATTGATTTGGTGTACAAAGGCGCTGCGTAATCGTAAGCTTCTAAGAAGCAACCTATCTTGAGAAAATATAGGGCACGATGTCTACTGTGTCTTTACACATTTTACTCTGGTTTTTACCCATTCTACTCTGTCTTTACACATTCTACTTTATGTCTTTACACATTCCATTTTATAGTCGAAGGTACCCCGGTCGATATTGATCTTGATCACACAATATATAAACAGTCTCTAAGTTTAATCGATACCCTTCCTTTGAAGAAAAATTCTTTTCTAATTCTTAAAAAACTAACACCAAACTAAAGTTTATCGACCACAAAGCCCCTTTGCTCGACCTTTGCAAAAAAGAATTTTTTTCGTAAAAAAATGCTCTTTTTCTACAAAACAAAGTTTTTTTTAAAGAATTTCAAAAAAATAACATCAGATTCGAACTCCCCGCATCGAAAAACCTCTAGAAATGTCTTTTCCAGAAAATCGATTCTCGATGTTTTTTTGACCCTGCGGACATACAATCAAGCAAGCAAGCAAACAAACAATTTATGATTACTGGACTCTTCTCTACGAGAAAGAGAATATAATTAAATATTTTTTTTTGTTTGTGAAATGTTATATCATTGTAGATGACGTGAATTTCACATATTCCAGCAAATATTAAAGACAATTACAAATACTCTGAATTTATTAGACACATTTTAAACTGATAGTCGGTAAGAAGTTATTGTTTAGCATAATTTTTTCACAAAAAACGTCTATTGAAAGTGATGATATGGCTAATATTCGATGTTCTCTTGTTCAAGCAGGCATTTATTTTGATCAACTATATATTAATCAGGTAGTTAAATAATTTATTTATGATCGTATTTGATAAATATGATTTTTTTTAGGCTTATTTAACAGTACTTTTATTATACAAACCACGGTATTGTGTCAAAAGATCGAAAGAAATAAGATCGAAAAAAAAAATCTCGAAGAATATAGTCGAAAAAAATGATTTCGAAAACACAAAATTTAGAAAACTCAATACTTCGAAAAACCCTTATTTCGAAGACGAAAATCTAGAAAAATTCAATGATCGAAAAAAAAAATCTCGATAATGACAAATTTCGATCAAAAAATCTTGCATAATTTGAAAATGAAGATATTAGTGAAATAGAAAAACATGTTGGTACTTCGTTTTTTATTTTACAAACACACGACAATGAAATAATGTAATAGAATAATCACACAAGTATTAACTAGAAAAAATTATTTGCTTGTTCCAATTAACAACGAAAGTCCTTCTAAAAGTTCATCAAGACTGATTTGATTTTCTTCAAATCGTGATCGAAGTGAAGAAATTTGTTGTTGAAGTTGAGCACTTTTTTTGCATTTGGTTTTGTTTTTTCCCATGATCATCTTTAGTATTTGTTGCCGCACGAGAACTTCTTCCTTCTTGAGACAATCAAAAAGATGCCAAATATTTGGATGAAATTTAGCTACTAATCGATTAAATCGATGATTCCATCCTAAATTATGAAATAAAGCAGGGAAAATAGGTTAAAAAAACGAACCCTCCACCATATTATTAGTCTTCATCCCAACATCCCCGACATTCCACAAGCTCCACTTGACCTTTGACGTCCAATAACCATTAAAATATTTAATTAATAGTTTTACTGAATCTGGTGCTTCACTTGTGATCTTTTTAAAACCATATTCAATTTGTTCGATAGGAATAAGTGAAAGTGCCATAAGCTTTCGTATAGTCGAACGAGCAGATTCATCGTCACGATAAATAGAAGCTAATCCAAGATGTTGCACTTGTCGATATATGGCATTATTGTAATGAAAATTACAACCAATATGTCGGGTATTAGGTAGCTAAAGTTTATGATAAGAATTGGTTGAAGAAAAAATAGATGAGGACTTACGTCATCCGCTACGGTCTTGATAAGTGCAAGTTCAAAATCGGATGTAAGTTTAGTTGGCCGAAATACCATATTTAATCGATTAGCATGATGAGCAAGGATGGAGAACAGCTCTTTGTATATAATCGTGGAGCGTCCACCAAGTAGAGCAATAGCACAGACAAAACCTATATGAGTAAATTATATATAAATAGTCATTTGAGATGATAAGAATACGTTACTGTGGTCGTTCTTTATCCCATGAATGGAATAAATCTGATCAAATTCAGAAGGTGATGAGGCAAATGTACCATCCATCATAATATGAGAACAGTCAAAAAGTGTACGAAGTTGTTCATCAGTGGCGAAGACAATTATTCGTTTCTCGACCCCACCACCACAACGTTGAACACGGTCAGCTAATAAATATCGTTCACCATCAGTTGTTATTTTATATTTTGATAGAATGTCGAAATCGATAGATGTTGGAAGTACGGGTGTTCTCGATCGACGAGATTTATTAAGTTTAGAATCTAGAAAAGGCAGATTATTAAGTTTACTTAAGCAAAAAAAATAATACTTACTGGCATCTCTAGCTGTAGCAGCAATAGCAAGAGCTGATTTTGTTAGATTTGCTTTCACAAGTTCTTCATTATATATTTGACCAATAGCTGTTGATTCATCGTTGATTCGTGCTTTAACTCTTGTTAATAGCTTTCGAATCTCTACCTGTTCGGGAACGGGCATATGAGTATGGCCGACTGTAGTGAATTTAATAAATTGATCATGAGGATTAAGATGAACACCAGCCCAACATAGCTTTTGAGTACATATCCAATAACATACTTTTGATGTTGATTTGTTTTCATGATAAATATAGCCATTGATTGTGAGAAGACGTTTCTTTTTATTACTTGTAATAAAGGAAATTACAGGTGTTTTATTTTCGAC